CTTGGGTCGCTATGGAAATAGCCTCCTTGTATAATTACAAGGGTAAGGTCTGCGTACAACTGACCCCCCAGACCCCAACCTGTTTGGGAATATACTGGGTATGTTGATGTTGATGTTGATGTTGATTGCTTATGACCTTGAATGAGACTTTTTGTTAAATATTTGCTCTTTTTAGTTCCTTTTTGGTAAAGCTTATTTATTCACCTATTTTTATTCTGTTCAAACGTATTTATGTCAACTACTTCTGCAGCCTGTTGCTATCTATTTCCTTTCCTTATAGTCCCATATGTCATTGATTTGATACATTTCTGGTTAGTGTATAACAGCATTCTTCAATGTTGTGATGCTTAGGGTTTGGCCAAGTATGTTGAGTGGAGTGCTAGCTTGCTGGAAGACGAAGCCAAGCGGAGGTTGAAAACCGCTGAACTCCAAGCAAAGAAGTCTAGATTAAGAATCTGGACCAATTATGTTCCACCTGCCACAAATTCAAAGGCCATTCATGATCAAAACTTCACAGGAAAAGTAAGTTACCAAGGCTGGTTTTTAAATTCCCTCGGTCTCTGTTTTCCTGATATTCTTCAGAGCAACTTCTCTGAATATGCAGGTTATTGAGGTCGCAAGTGCTGATTGCATTGTTGTTGCTGATGATTCCTTGCCATTCGGAGATCCAGCTGCAGAGAGACGAGTCAATCTGTCAAGCATTCGGGGCCCTAAAATGGGTAATCCGCGTAGAGATCAAAAACCTGACCCCTATGCTCGTGATGCCAAGGAGTTTCTCAGAACCCGTTTGATTGGCCGACAAGTATGGTTTCATTATTATTATTATTATTATTATTATTATTATTATTATTATTATATCATTGACAAAATTGCATTTTAGTCCTGCTGGTTAAATGTCATAACAATTTTAGTCCCAAGGTTCCAACATTTTGCTTTTTGGTCCTGTGATTTAATATTTTCCTACTAAAATTGCAACAAATTCCCAAATTCCCAGATTTTTGATTGGCAATTTAAGTGTTGTAGTTTAAAATTTTGTTGCAATCTCAGTCCTCAAAGGACTAAAATTGCAACAAAATATTAAATCACAGGACCAAAAGGCGAAAAGATGGAATCTTGGGACTAAAATTGCTATGACGTTAAACTAATTGGACTAAAAGTGCTTTTTTTTGCCCATATCATTTATTGTGCTTAAATTTTAATCTTAAAACAAATTGTCCCTCTTCAGGTGAATGTTTCTATGGAATATTCCAGGAAGGTTAGCTTGGCAGAAGGACCAGGTGCCGTACCTGGGTCCACAGACTCAAGAGTGATGGATTTTGGATCGGTTTTCCTTGTCAAGGATGGGGATGATGCTGCCGCTTCTGGAGCTGGCAGCCAACAAGGTGGAGTGAACATAGCTGAGCTTTTAGTTGCCCGTGGGTTTGCGACTGTTGTTAGGCATCGGGATTTTGAGGAGAGGTCCAATCATTATGATGCCCTCCTTTCTGCCGAGTCGCGTGCGATTTCCGGAAAGAAAGGCATGCACTCTGCCAAGGACCCTCCCGTGAGGCATGTGACAGATTTGCTAACGGTTAGTTAAATGTCTCATCCTATGTGTGCAGTTGTGAACTTTGATTAGTCTAATTTGTCTTCAATAAAATTCTAATGAATTTTTTGTGGTTTGGATTATAATACATGACATGATATAAATTCTGGAGTCTTATGGTCATATATATATAGTGCAAGATTTTTAATTGAATGAATGTGATTGTTTTGTGTGGCTTCCAAAATTAATCTTTGTGGTTGTGCCCTGAATTATATAGGCTTCTGCAAAGAAAGCGAGAGACTTCCTACCCTTTCTGCAACGTAATAGGAGGATGTCTGCCGTTGTCGAATATGTTCTCAGTGGACACCGATATAAAATTGATATTCCCAAAGCAACATGCAGTATTGCGCTCTCGTTGTCTGGAGTTAGGTGTCCGGGTCGTGATGAGCCTTATTCAGATGAAGCTATTGCCTTCATGAGGAGAAAAATAATGCAGAGGGATGTTGAGGTACATTTAACAAATTTATCATCCTATTTCTCAGTAGTGCTTTTACATCTCACAGTTACTAATGATATTTGCTATTTTTACATGTAGATCGAAGTCGAAACTGTTGATAGAACTGGAACTTTCTTGGGAAGCGTTTGGGAGAACAGAACCAATGTGGCCATACCACTTTTAGAAGCTGGTTTGGCAAAAATTCAATCTTTTAGCATTGATAGGGTCCCAGAAGCTCATCTGCTCATCCAAGCCGAGCAATCTGCCAAGCAGAAAAAGTTGAAGGTGAATACACTTGCCTGTTTACCTTTTGAACTCCTGATTCTGGCGTGATATATTTTTTCTAATTTTTTTTATGTATTCTTTTTTGCTTCAGATATGGGAAAATTATGTTGAGGGAGAGGAAGTTTCTAATGGTTCGGGTTCAGCAGCATCAGCTGAAAGAAGACAGAAAGAAGAATTCAAGGTATAGGGATCATGCAACTTCTGGCTTGTTATGTATTGTTCTTCTTTTGTTGAGTACTCATGAACAAATAAATGTTATTCTTATTCCACAGGCTGTGGTCACAGAAGTTCTGGAAGGTGGTAAATTTTATGTTCAGTCAGTTTCGGATCAGAAAGTGGCCTCAATACAGAAGCAACTCTCTTCTTTAAACCTTCAAGAAGCTCCTCTGATTGGCGCCTTCAGTCCTAAAAAAGGGGATATAGTTTTGGCTCAATTCAGTGCAGACAAATCTTGGAATCGTGCAATGGTAAGCTTACAAACAGCCATTTGCTCTTTTACATTTGTGAATATTACAACATTATGGTCATTTACACATCTCATTTTTTTTTTGGGTTTATTTAATGTCACATGAGTTCGTAATTGTCTTTTGACATCAAATTTATTGGTCTCTGTTGTTTTATATTTCTACGGAGCGCATATGACACCTCAATTTAATACAACTTATTCACCAAATTGCCGGTCAACTTTTAGCAAACTGGACTTCTCTTTTGTCGACCTGTTTTATTTTTTTAGCCATGTCTAAATTGAATCCCGTAGATTGTGAGTGCTCCCCGTGGTGTGGTGGAATCTGCAAATGACAAGTTTGAGGTGTTCTACATCGACTATGGGAACCAAGAAACCGTTCCCTACAGCCAATTGCGTCCTCTTGATTCTTCTGTATCTGCAGCCTCTGGCCTTGCCCAGCTTTGTAGCCTGGCCTTTGTCAAGGTCCCAGGTTTAGCAGATGATTATGGGCAGGAGGCTGCCATTCGGTTGAGCGAACTCCTATTGAGTGCTCCCAAAGAATTCAGGGCCGTGATTGAAGATAAGGACACTTCGGGTGGGAAAGTCAAGGGACAGGGAACCGGGACTGTCTTCATGCTTACCTTGATCGACACTGAAGCTGAGATGAGCATAAATGCAATTATGTTGCAGGTACCAGTGTCTTTCCTCTTTGTGTATTTTTGCAAATTTACATGTTATTTTTTATTTCATGGCTAAGATGACTTGTTAATGGATGATTACACACTATTCCATTTATTTCAGTGCTATCCAAAAAAAAAGGAAAAAATAATTATGTTTTGAAACTACATATGTTTTTGTGTAGCAAATTACACATTGAGGGGTTGAATCGTAAATTGAATGATCGCTCTTTATTACTTGAAAAGTAAAAAATAAAATAAAAAATAATGTAGACCTTGGTTTGGTTTTCATTATTAGCCTGGTCCTCACACTTCCATCCAATTTGTTGAACACCTATCCAAGGTGTAAGCCTAACTACTGAAAAAGATTCAATTATCCTTCAGAAATACAAATATCCCCTTCATATATTATAAACAGTCCATTAATTAAGATTAGTATTTGTTTAAATTAATAACCGCCAAAGAATCACAGAAGAATGCTAATTTATATATATTTTTAACTTTTACAGGAAGGGCTTGCTAGGTTGGAGAAGAGGAGGAGGTGGGAATCCAAGGAAAGGCAGCAGACTTTTGACGAGCTGGACAAGTACCAGACTGAAGCACGTGAGAAGAGGCTCGGGATGTGGGAGTATGGTGACATTGCCTCTGATGACGAGGACTCTGCACCTCCGGCCAGAAAATCTGCTGCTGCTGCTGGAAAACGGTAAAAAAAAAAAAGACGAGCAAAAGTTGCTTTTCTGCAGCCTGTGACAATACTATAGCTTTGTGTGAACTCAGTTTACAGGCATATATCGTGGTTTGTTATAGAGGGAACAGAAAAAAGTCGAGCAAAGTGGGGCCGATACTGTTTTAATTCTTTACATGTAACTTATAGAGAATGTCGGCCATTAGAACGGGATGTTGTTTGCTAGGTGAGAAAACAATTTTGGTTCTTTTTTTTTTTTGGGAATTTCTTTGTTCTGTTTTATTAATTTACAGACTCTTAATAAGGGCGGGCCTGGAACATTGTCTTTGGAAAGTTGAAACTTCTTCGTTTCCATCGGCTATATATTGGGAAAGGATTTCCGCTTAGTTCGCCATATTTTTCTTCAAATTGTCTTGATTTCTATTGGGAAAAAATCTCTGTCTGCTCTCTTTGGGAAACGTTGTCGGTCTTTCTTGTCTGAATAACATTCGTTCTTTGCCAGATGCAAAATAATGTCGGAGCCATTTAATGTTTCATACAACTTGGCTTCGAGTGAACCCAACTCAGGATTATATATTATGTTCTGTCAAATTCCTTACCTTTGGTTTGCCAAAAGGTGTACCTTGCGAACAATGTGTGTTCAGACAGGGGCCCCTTGAGAGTGTGCACTAAGAAAACTTTAGTGAGCACCTGTTGAAAATTGCACGAGTCGTTCTCGAACGATGTTGATATGAAATGAAACAAGAAAAAGAAAGTAAGAAGGATATTTTAATTATTCATTTTTAGCTTTTATGTTTTTGCCACAATTGGAATTCCATTTTGAGAGATCCACTAAAGCGTATTAAATAAGTCAATATTATTCAGTTGAATCTAGTTGGGAGGCTAACTTGAAAGGTAACAAGTTGAGGTAGCCTAGAACCAACTTAAACACAACACACTGAACTAAAAGACACAAGCTACCAACAAGAGAATAACACAACTCCCAAATAGATAATAAATAACAAACACCCACACGGAAACCTAAAACACATAACCAACTATACACAACCAAACACTCAACTACCCATAGAAACACAACACAACAAAAAATAAAGCAACAATAAACAGAACGCCCTCCCATTCAGTCGACCAGCACTCGGGACTTCCGCCAACCATTTAACTCCAACGCGGAAAAAAGAAGAGCCTTCGGCCCCCAGCCCAAACACACGGGTCGAGAGACTCTCCCCTACGGTTAACTTGACCCTGACTAACAGACTGGATACTGTAGGGAACTTTCATCGGGAAAATAAAAATAAGATGGCTATATAACAAATACCGAGGCCTGTGAGAATACAATATCCTTAAAATAAATTCGCCCCGTATGAGCGTCTGTTTCGCAGGATACAATGGAAAAACCGAAAAAAATTCGGCGAACTGAAACTATGCCTGAACCAAAACACTTAAAAGAAAAATAGAAAATGGGGAAAAGCCTTTAAAATATATACTGTTTTTCTTTCCTTGTTATTTTTCTCTTACAACCCAACCACCTATTTATATATGTACCAAAACAAAGAGTAATAAATCTCTTACGTTTTTTTCCTTCCATTCAATTTTAACAATAAATTTGTAAGTTTAACGAATCAATTCTAATGTTATAACTCTTAGAATTAATTCAACCAATACGTTTCAATTTCATTCACAAATTTTTCCAACAATCCCCCACATGAATGAAATTGAAAAATAATGTTATGGTCCAACCGTTGAAACCTGCATAGGATAGGTAGGTGTTACCATTTGAACTTTCCCTTGTGAAAGCACATTAACGTTACTAGCTGACCAGTAGACGCGATGTCTTTGAACTGTTCTGCCTTTTGTGTAAACGATAAATATACTTCACACAGGATTCTCCTTAACATATTCCAGTTCTCATTATTATGTCCATTAGTGGCCCTGGACATAGCCTGGTTCTGTGAGAGGGTCTAAGAATTGAGCCTCACACAATTCTCTTCAAAGCGGCCTACTTCTCTCTCACATAGGTGATTCTTAATTACAAGTAGCCCATACTACCTTCCCACACACGAATCATTAAAAGCCAAATACTTATCTTACTCACCACGGGTATCACCGTTTAAGGAATGGACATGGGATACTATCCCACAGTGATCACAAGAGTTTTTAAATTAGGTTGTCCCTTTGAACCAAGTTCTTGGGATCTCCAGTCAACAAGGTAGGGTTTCCATTGTATCAACTCTTTTCTAGAGGCTTAAGTCCCATTCCTCTCAAAGATTTAGCAACCAACTCTCTGTTTAACCCTTTAGTTAGCGGATCCGCAAGATTATCTTTTGACTTCACATAGTCAATAGATATAGTATTAGTTGAGAGTGGTTGTTTAATGGTATTATGTCTTCGACGGATATGTCTAGACTTACCATTATACATATTACTTTGTGCCCTGCCTATAGCCGATTGACTATCACAATGTATACAAATGGCTGGCACTGACTTTGACCATCTTGGAATATCTTTTAAGAAATGGCGAAGCCACTCTGCCTCTTCTTCACTTTTGTCCAATGCTATAAATTCGGACTTCATTGTGGATCTAGCAATAACAATCTGCTTAGAAGATTTCCATGATATGGCTGCACCTCCCACGGTTATTAAATATCTACTAGTGGATTTGGAATCTTTCATATCCGATATCCAGTTGGCATCACTATAGCCTTCAATTACAACTGGATATTTACAGTAGTGCAGGCCATATTTACAAGTATATCTCAAGTATCTGAGTAATCTCACAATTCCTTTCATGTTCTTATATCATGGATTACTTGTATATCTACCCAATTTACTCATGGCAAAGGCGATGTCTGGTCTAGTACAATTCATTAGATATATCAGACTCGCTATCACCCTTGAATATTCGACTTGAGAAGCACTTTCGCCTTTATTTTTCGACAAATGTTGACTTGTATCTATCGGAGTCCTAACCTGAGTCGAATCATCCTTATTAATTTTTTCAAGGATTGTTTTCCACATAATGTGTTTGACTCAGAACAATTTCGTTTGATTTTCTATGAATTTTAATTACAAGAATCACATCAGCTAGACCTATATCTTTCATGTTAAATCTAGAATTTAACATATCTTTTGTGAATTTAATAATTTTATCATTGCTTCCAACAATAAGCATGTCATCTACGTAATGACATAGGATTACATAACCCTTTTCCGTGTCTTTAACATAAACACATTTATCACATTCATTAATTTTAAATCCACTTTAAATCATGACATTATCAAACTTTTCATGCCATTGTTTTGGAGCTTGTTTTAAGCCATACAAAGACTTAATCAATTTGTAAACTTTATTCTCTTGCCCGGGAGCACAGAACCCTTCAGGTTGCTCCATATAAATCTCTTCTTCTAAATCTCCATTTAGAAAAGTTGTTTTTACATTAATTTGATGTATTTCAAAATTTCGTAAAGTTGCAATTGCAATAATCACCCTGATGGATGTTATCCTCGTTACTGGAGAAAATGTATTAAAGTAGTCAAGGCCTTTCTTTTGCTTATAACCTTTAATTATAAGTCTAGACTTATACTTATCAATTGTTCCATCAGGTTTTATTTTCGTTCTGAAAATCCATTTGTAGCCCAATAGTTTACTTCCAGGAGGAAGATTCACTAGCTCTCATGTGTGATTTTGTAAAATGGAATCAATTTTACTTTGGATTGCTCTTTCCAAAGAGGTCCTTTAGAAGAATTTACAACTTTTGAAAATATTTGTGGTTCACTTTCAACCATATAGGTTAGAAAATCTAGACCAAAGATTTTTCTATCCTACATCTTTTGCTTTTTCGAGGTTCTACCTCAGCATATCTATCTTGATCTTTTTCCATTATTTCAAAATTTTTTTAGTGGAACTAGAATCCACTTCAAACTTACGTGAAAATATATTCTCAAAAAATGAAGCATTTCTAGATTCAAGTATAGTATTCTTATGAATTTCCTCAATTTTGAATTTATGTATAAGAAAACGGTAAGCACTATTGTTGTGTGCATATCCAACAAATATACAGTCAACCGTTTTAGGTCCAATCTTTATCTTCTTTGGCGTAGGTATTGCTACCTTTGCCAGACACCTCCACACTCGCAAGTATTTGTAGGATGGTGATCTTCCATGCCATAATTCATATGGACTTTTGTCTAATCTTTTACGGGGAACCTTATTTAAAAGGTAATTTGCTGACAATACAACTTCTCCCCACATGTTCTGTGGAAGTCCAGAACTTAACAACATTGAATTCATCATTTATTTTAAAGTACGATTTTTTCTTTCCGCAATCCCATTTTGTTGCGGTGTATAAGATGCTGTCATTTCATGTCTTATCCCATGTTGGGCACATAATTCAGCAAAAAGTGACTCATATTCACCTCCTCTGTCACTTATCTCCTTAATCTTTTTATTTAACTGATTTTCAACTTCATTTTTATAGAAAATAAATTTCTCTATCGCTTCATTCTTACTTTTGAGAAGATACACATAACAAAATTTAGTGCGATCATCTACAAAAGTAATGAAATATTTATTTCCACCACGTGTCGTGACAATTTTTAAATCACATACATCAGTGTGAATTAAATCAAGTGGTTCACTATTTCTTTCAATAGTTTGAAACGGTAATCGTGTCAATTTTTCTTCAACACATGTTTCACACTTATGATTTGAATCAATATGGAACATAAGTATTCTTTTCAATTTTATTAACCTGCGAAGGGTATTTTAATTGACATGTCCCAGTCTACCATGCCACACAATGAAAGACTCAAGCATATAAACGGAAGAATTAACATTTTATTAATTGTCATCATATTGAGCTTAAAAAGCCCATTACATTCATAATCCTGCCCTACAAATGCTCAATTTTTAGTCAAAATAACCTTATCAGATTCAAACACTACACAAAAACCATGTTTGATCAACAAAGAACCAGACAATAGGTTCTTGCGAATTTCTGGTATATAAAGAACATTATTAAGAGT